CCAAATCCATAATAAACGGGTATACAAGACTAGTGTAGATTAGAACTCATAATCTATCAAAATACGTTTAAAATGATATTAAAAGATTTGGATTGTCAAGATCTATTGTTTTTTTTGTAATTTTCGATTGTATCGAGTGCAAAAACGCTAGTGGATCGATTTCTGGTCTTATGCGTCCTTGTCACTTGTATCCACTAGTGAAACACACTTGATTTCTGAGAGATCTGCGTGGCCATGTACACTCGGTTATGCATTGACATCTCCATCAGATCGGGACCTCTCACAAATGTATGTAAATATACAAATAACTTCACATTGTTTAGCACTAACCAAGGTTTCTGAATGTTAGCGATCGTTGTTGCTTGCGTGCAAACGAAACATGCAGTCAATCTATTAATCAATTTCACAAGTTATCGTATTATTTGATCTGCCCTTCATATATTATTTCATGCTGCTTTTTTGTTATCATTCAGAAAATAAGATTGCCGTCCAACTACACTTCTTGATGTAACATCCTATGACGATTCCTTTCTACATGGATTGGCTATCACATTTTATGTACATGTTCTTGCCCAGAAATTTCACGGGGATTTTTACTTGTAGACATTTTTTTTTCATCTGATCGAACATAGCATATCAGTTGGATCACTTGTTTACTGTTTATTCCATGATCATAATGAAACATAAATAGTACCTTTTGTTAGCAACAGAGTTTTATAGGATTCGAAAAAAAAAACAGAAGACAACAGAGAGCATAGACGAACAAAATATTTGGAATTATAGCGGTACCCTCCTAGAATAATATTATTTCTAATCATTTACATATGTTTTTCAAAGATCATTAATAAATGTAACATTTTCGTATTTCAGAAAATCCTTTCTAAATAATAACTGATGTATCAATCTGACATTTGTCAAATGATTTTTCGTTACAATAGACTGTTCAAACATAGATAGAAAAGAAAATTAAAAGCTTTTCATGATTTGATTTGATGCTACGAATATTTTCTGTTTCTTGGTTTTTATTCATTAAGATAAATATCGCTCGTGTTTACATTGAAATTAAAATAGAAAACTCAAGATTATAAGAACGTTAGTCTGTTGTGTTGGTGATCAAAGCATCAATCTGTTCTTCAACACTATCGAAAATACTCGATCGATGTGGTTTCCATCCTAATTTTCTTACTCTTTCAGCTGTTGAATTTGATTGACTACCCATATTAAACCAACCATATATTCCAAAAGGACTGTTTTTCACTTCATCATCAGAAAAACTCGTCACTTCAGGTGACTTAACAATACCTTTCTTGTATAAAACTTCACCAATTTTTTCTGATAGTTGTCGCCATGTGTGCATCCCGTTTTCAATAAAATAGTAACCTTCTCGTCCTGTAGTCAAATATGGACTAGATTGTTCATCAGATTTAGCATTAGGACCATAAGCAGCAAGAAAATGATCGAAAATAATTATATAAGCATTACATAAATCAGCAATATGAACATTATTCCATGTTGCTTCACCTGATCCGATCATTCCGGCCTTGTGTCGTTTCAAAGCAATTTCAATAAGACAAGGAAGTTGAATAGAAGTACGATTAAATAAACCTGTACCAATACCATAAATAGTCGGAGGAAGAACGATAGCAGTTTTCAATAAAGGATTGCTATCAGCTGAATTAACAATAAAGAGATCAACATCATGTATAGCTTGATTATCAGGAAGACCATAGATTTGAGAAGGATCAAGATCACTGTAGACTTTATCTGATCCTTTTTCACCACGAACATCTTCAGCAATAAGACTTGCACCACTTGTATGAATATAAATTGTTGGTCTTTCTACTGACTTGGTTCGTTTGTTCAAACCAGAAACAATGGCTTGTGCTGATGGTAAATGCCAAGCTGATTCTGCATTGTGAATGACAACATCAGATTCACTTGCAACTTTTTCGATGATTTCAAACGAATCAATCGAACCAACAAGAGGTGTGACATTGAGTGATGCTAATTTTTTAATTCGTTCATCACTACCACGAATAAGAGCAGTAATATTGAAATTAGAAGCATTTGGATGTTGAAGAAGTGCAGTGAAAATACTTCCTCCTATATAACCAGTAGCACCGGTTAAAAAAATATTAATTTTAGCAGCAGACATCTTGTGGGTATTTATGAAACGTGATGAAAAATAAAAACGAGGATATTAGCACAACTGACGAAGAAAGTGTCGTAATAGAAAAGATAAAAAACGTTAATAAGACATTTTTCTGATAAGAGCAACTACCTTTCTGTTTTTTGCTGTTCTATAATTCCATATAGATAAAAAAGATTGAATAACTTTAGTCAGATAAAATATTTCTATGTGTAATGTAAAACTGTAAAAAATATCTCTATCTATCTGTATTCTCTCTTTGATATAATGATTTTCTATATTTTTTATGGAATTTAACAAAATAATTACCTTCAAAATAAATAAAAGAACGAATGTAAAACAGTCATAGATTAAAGTAATAAACAATCAAGACACTATATATGTGGATGATACATTAAGTGCAAAATAAGGATGGAAAGAAAAAAAAACTGGCTGCAGAAACTGTCATTAAATATTATACGTCAGTCTTGATAAAGATCAATAACGTTCTCTTTCTGTTTTACATAACTAGAAAAAAGTATTGAAAATTGTTTGAAGTATTTTTAACGACTCAAAAAACTTTCCAACGATCGATGCAAAAATATATCTGCACCACAAACTGCGTATATCCACTTCTTAGCAATTCTGTCGCTAGATGTATTCAAAATATACTTTGATTGCAATTCCTTATTTTGGAAGCAAAATGACAGCGACTGCTAAGTATTGAGTTTTTGTTTCTATTGCATTTCCATATACTACGAACATGATTCATTCCTTATTTATGCGGTTGAAGACTATACAATTTTTAATCTAAAGTGGTGTAGAACACATAGACAGGCAACTAATCATGTCTAAAGAATTACTCGAAGAAAATAAACGGTTTCCATTTCACAAAAAGTCAATCAACTTAAAAAAGCTGTTAGCGCCATCCCTATGGGATTAATGTGTGAAACACGATATAGCTGCTGTGGCTGATGACACGAAGATAGTTTAGATGTTCGTCTGTTATGGTCTGTGAGACTGTCGGCCATAGTCGGAGATTCTATTCACAACGCTGCCTGTCACGGTCTGTATATGTGTGAAGTGGAGGAGTATAAATTTCTACTCTATATACTTCAACACTCATTTTAGATAGTGTTTCACAAAACAGCTAATTAATAATACAATTCGATATTGCTTGATACTTTCAGCATGCTAGCCAAGATTCCTAAACTAAATATAAATGATTGTTTCTATTATAAATAAATCTTTCGTTTGGATGTTTTTACCAGATATTTGATTAGGAAATAATATTTATCTAAAAACAGGTCTGTTGTCTTCTCCTTTTAAACTATGAAATCAATTCATGAATCAAAAAAAAATATCCTATTCCATGTGAAAAGTTGATGAATCTATAATTTTATATTCGTTGTAGTTTTTTTCATTGTATGTATCATTATCTATAATATCACCTTTTGAATTACACGATCAAATATCAAATGAAAAAAAGAAGAGAAGACTAAAGAGACATCGAACACTGATATAGAGAACACTTATTATGCCATGCTTGTGTAAGTGGTAAGATGATGATTTCAATTAAGTGTATATACCCTAGAGAAAGTACTGAGTTCAGGGTACCCATGTACTGAGAAAGCTCTAGCAGGGTACCCAATATGGGTACTTTGAAAATTCTCAGTAATTTTACTGATGTATGTACTGTTTGAGGTACCCGTAAAAGTACATTCACTGAATAAGTACCTGCATGGATACACAAGTCTGTAACTTTACTGAGGAAATCTCGACAGGGTATCCTAAATTTTTCGCATTCTGTGTGGCGACTATTCATTCACCGTTTTCTTTTTTACGTACGGCTCTATATAAACAACTCGATAAATCATAAGAAAATAATCAATTTTCATACTAGTTTTTTCTAAATTATTTCTTGACTATTTCTTAGTTGAAGAAATGCCGAGCTTGGTCGTAAATTGAGATCGGACTACCCTGAAGTGGTCTACGACCAACTCAAGTTGAGTCGGATCCCGACATTGTTCCTGCTAAGTTTTTGGAATTGAAAAAATTAAATTGAATAAAGTAAAAAAAATCTAGTAAATTATCTCAAGAAGAAGAAAAAATTTTAAAAAGTCAAAGATCAGGTTCGATCCTGAACATACTGAAAATTTGGTAACAGGGTACTTAGAAATACTGTACAATGGTACCCAATTCAGTACTTGATCAGTACCTTTAGGTACCCAATTACTGTGCATTTTCCAGCAGGGTACTTGCCAAAGTACCACTTAGGTACCTGTAAGTACCTGCAAGTACTTTGGTACCCAAAAGTTCCTGTGACATACTGGTATCAGGGTACTTTTTTGGGTACCCTTAACTCAGTATATTCTCTAGGGATATACCCCTGGAAAAAATAAATTGCACACTGTATTTTGCGAATATCGTTATCATAATAGTGTATTTTAAAAAAAATAATGATATATTCTGAAAGCGAGTGGAGTTTTCTGTCGGCTTGTATATTTGCATTTTCGTCTGAACATTTTTATTACCAAAACAAATTGAGTGCAATGAAGGCACCTTCATGTCCAGATTCCCACAGACTTGATTTTGTCACTGTCATCAAAATTAGATTTTTAAATTTTTCATCACTATACAATTATCTTTTTAGAAAAGTAATTATATAGTTTGATAGAGCGTGAAATTCTCTATCATCCTATATATTTGTTCATTATCTTGCATCTATTGTTGAAGAATAATTCGAATATTATATAGGAGTCACTGCACGAAAGCCACGATCGATCGTGCTCGATCGATAGACTCAGATTTTGATAAAAATTATCCCATTTGTAGAGCAAATTTTTTTAGATATAGAACCAAATTTTTATACTTAACGTTGAACTTTGACTGAGATACGCTCATCCGACTAATAGTACCCAAAATAGAGTTTTGTTCATATGAAAAATTTTTTATCAATCTCTTGTGTAAGCTATTTGAACGAGATCTCGTCACCAGCACACGATAGAGCTCTGAAATTTTGATTAAATATACATGTTGAGATGTTGAATACAACCATCATATTTAATAATACCAATATCTTCAAAAAATATGGCTGAATTTTTTGAGGTCACTCCTGATTTCTCTATATTCTGGAGTCAAAAAAAGTCTATCTTCATGATAGGCTTTCTCCAGATCAGCGTGACAGAATTTGCTGATTTTTTTCTCAAAGATCCCTAACCTGGTACTACTTAAATATGGGGTGTGGGTGTCGGGTGTCGATATGGATGTAAGAAAGAACTACATATCCATCCCCAACCCACGCCCACTCCACACCACCCACACCCACCCACACCCACCCCACACCTACACCACCCACACCCACACCTTATCTAATTCATCATTTGTTGTTGTTGTTGCTCGTTTAGCTGTTGCTGTTGTTGATATAACACCAACATTTTTAATATAACCTTGAGATGATGATGTACGTGTTGGACGACTAAATAAATATTCAAAAATAAATAAATAAACAAATATATATTGTATTAACCTTAATGGTGGTGATCGAACATTTGTATCATCTTTATGTTTAGGTTTTTTACTATAATAATTTGGTTTTAATTTTCCACCTGTTCCTGTACCACCCATACTAGCCAATGTTGATGATGATAATGATGTTACTTTAGGTGTTTTTGGTGAACTTTCTTCTACAACAAAAAAAAAATAGAATTTTATTAATTATTATTTTATTTAAAAAATTAAAAAACCTTTTATTCCACTACTACTATCAGGTTTAAGTAAAACAGTTTCAAGTTTACCACGTTCAACTGAATAAAGAACACGTGAAAGTTCTTTGATTCCTATTGAAAATTTTATTTTCATTATTATTATTTTTGTAATTTAATAAAATATAAATATTTCTTACCTGTAATACTTTTAACATCAAGTTCAATTAATTTATCTGTTGGAACCCTTGATGATAATGATGGTGCTATACCAGTTGATGTATTTGAATTAACACCACCAGTTGTACTTGATGTTCCACTACTAGTAAAAAGACGTTTTTAAAATCCTGTATAAGATCGACTAGTTGAACTAATATTTTCTTCTGTTTGTCGAATTGTTAATGGTTCAACAAAACATTCAATTTCTGGTTTATATAATCTATTTAAAATAAAATTTCATAAATTTTATTTATTTATTTTGTTTCTTACTTTTGTTTAACTTTTTTTGGTGGTGATATAATGTAAAACGTTTATGTTCAGCAATACTTGCTGATTCTGATTATGTATTACCTTCTAAATCATATCGTCCACCTAATTCCTTTAATTCTATTTCACTTATATCATGAAATGGTCTTGGTGATCCTTAAATTAAATTTATAAACTAAAATCACATATTTTATTTTTCAAATAAAAATTTTACCTCTTCTTGATCCAGCTACTTTCGGTGTAATTCTTCCACTAAGACCACTACCAGTTACATCAAATGGTGGTGTTTCACATACATGATAATGACTAAGTATTGTATTCATTGCAATACGAGTTAAATGTTGTATATTGATACTAAATTTTAAAAGGATTATTTCAGTTTTTGAAAGAAAAATTTAATATTTACTTTATTAAATAATAATAAGAGTCATTAACCATGCATCACGTAAACTAGGATCAATACGTTCTAAAGTTTTTGATGCTGCAATATGTTCATAAAATTGTATTGATGAATTAGAACATGTAGAAAATTGAAGAAATGAAAGAAAAAATGGTAAAAGTACTGTTCCAAGACTAAAATTATGATCAACAAATTTTGATAAATTTGATAAAAATGCATGAAAAACTGGACTTCGTCTAAATATATATATATATATATATATATATATATATATATATAAAATAAATTTATTTATTTAATTAAATAAAAACAAACCGAATTTTGCTTGGTAAACTAATAAATGTTCGATTTGTTTGATTATAACCAAGTAAAGAACAAATATGTCAAATAACAACATTCTTTAAAAAAACAAAGATAATTATTATCATCTTAATAATTTATTTAAAAAAAAATAGGTTTATTTTACTTGTTGTTTAAGCATAATTCGATCTTCATTAACTTGATTTTGATCATCTTTCATCATAAACTAAATAACAAAGAAAAAGTAATTTCTTTTCTATTAATATAAATTTTAATAAAATATTTACTTTCATAAGTAAATTAACTAATAATTGTAATGTTGATTTATCACTATCTTCATTATCAGCTGACATACCACTTCCAATAGAATCCGTTTCAATTTTTTCATTAATAATATTTGATTGTTGAGAATCAATTGTTGTTGCTTCGTCGTTGATATGTTGGAAGACGTAATGATGATGATATTGGTTTAATTGAATCTGTTTTAGCCATAGCAAAACGTATTTGATTTAATTTTCGTATAAAATGTTCACTTTCAGTATTAAAACCAGCAATACTTTGTGGACTTATTAATTCACCTGATTCTTCCATACTTATTTGTGATTCAATTGATAATATATCAAAACGATTAAGAAAAAATTTCCATCTTAAAATTTTTATTGTTGAATTATTACGTAATAATATTGAATAAAGTTTTGATAAAAGATGTAATATTATTGAACGATCATTTATAACTGTATCAAATTGAAATTCAAGTGCACACTTAACACTTTTAAATCATGCATCACCTAATGTTTCCAATGAACACATTGCTTTTTGACTAACTGTTGGTTCAACATCTTCAATTGATATTATTAAATTAAGAAAAGCAAAAGCAAGTACAGAAAGAACATTATAATTATTTTTAATTAATTTTGATTTAAGAAGTGAATAAAGTGCAATAACACGTGTACCTAAAAATATAAAGAAAAAAGCAATTTATCAAATTAGTTAAAAATCTAACTAATGAAATTTACCAGCTGATGAACGAGCTTTCCAATGCGTACTTGAAAAATCTCGTTCAAGTATATTCCATAAAGCAGTTTTTCCAAGTTCATAATTAAGTGCATGAAGAAGTAATGGTACACAACATTCATTTAAATGACCATGCCCTAATGCAAAGATTTTCCAAATACTAAATTAAAAAAAAAAAACGATTGTTTGGTTTTTTTAATAAAAAAAAATTATTTAATTGATTTACTGTGGAACAAGTAATTTTTCAAGGCAATATGAAAGGATGCCATGATTATCTTTTGCTGCTGTTTCTAAACATTCATCATTTAAAATTAATAATTTTAAACAACATAATAGATAATAAAGTGCATCTATATCAATAACTCGATCTAATTCCTAAAATAAAATATTTTCTAAAAAAAAAGATTTAAAATTACTTTAAGAACAGAATAAAAAAATTGTAAATGTATATGAAGTGTATCAAGTTTAAAATAAAAAACATCCTGTGATATTATCCATATTTCACCATGAGGATTATTTTCAACTTTAAGTTCAGGTGTTGTTGTTGTTGCTGGTATTGATGCTGTTGTATTAACATTTATAGCACCATCTTCTTCAATATTTAACGATGTTGATGATGATGATGAACTATGGTGATCACCACCTGATGACATTTCAATAGCTACAAAAGATTAGGTTTTTTTATGAACAATTGTCGAGAGAGAAAAGAGATGAAAATCTTACTAAATTTTGATTTGCTTGATGATCTAGTTGATTGAATTAATATTTGTTGTTGTTGCTGCTGTTGTTGTTTAAGTTCATTTATATTTGGTAATTCAAGTTCAGGTAATTTAATTTCATCACGTGGTGAAATATATTCTTCACAAAATGAACATTGACTTGATGATGTACGACAACGATGACGACGTGTCCATGGTAATATTAATTGTTTATTCATTAATGATAAAATTTCTTTTGATAATGGATTATACATTCCTTGATGTTGTGGAGATTGTTGAAGTTTCATCTAATTATATTAAAAATAAATAAATAAAGATTAAATACAAAAAATTAAATTTAAAAAAAAAATAAGAATTACTTGTTATTATTAGAGTTGTACAGTTGTTTAAATAACTATTTATATAATTTTTTTTCAAAGATATTATACATAAATATTCATTTGTTTATGCAAAATGTAGTTTTTGATTTTTATAGTTTAAAATTGAAAAACAAATCAATCGATTCAATATCATAAATTAACAAAACATAAAATCTATTATTAAATATCAGATTTAACATGAATATTAATAAAAATAAAATTTCACTTTTTAAGAACCATCTCAGCAGTGATGCACGTTTTAATCTATATTTTATGACAGTCATATTGTACATAGACAACATGAAGTACCCAAAAATCATTCGACTTACAATGAAAAAGAAATAGGTTTTTATTTATCTTTGTCTATCTATAAGAGGTTTTTAAATACTATTAATATCATATAGAACATTGATTGATTTTTTATTTTGTGTGTAACGAAGGAGAAGAACAATGGGTGTGATTTTTATTACTATTCTTATCTTTATGAAAACGGATGTGAAAAAAAGTGATTCCTGGTCGTTGATAAATTATAAAAGTCACGTATTCCTAATGAAAACATACTTAAAACAGATGAAAATAAGAAAAATAGAAGGTTGATGTAGTTTTTTAAAAATAAATCCTTTGTTTTAAGAATCAATATAATAAGAATGACATTTGGTATTTGGAATACTATTGCAATTCATCGTCTTCATACTGGTGAGAAGAACTATTCAAGCTAGAGATACTTCTTCAGAATACACATACTGTTTCGTCCTCACTCGTTGTTGCGCCAGCCAATGTGCGTATAGGGTGTATACATTCTGAAGAAGAACCCAAATTTCCACAGTTAAAATTTCAAAATATTTTTTTTAAATTTTTATTTTAAAAAAATGGAAAAAAATGTTTTTTAAAAATTGCTTTTCCCTAGTTCATTCTCCCTAGTCAAATCCTCGGGGAATCCCTGCTAAAACTCCCTGGGGATTTTTGAGAGGGAGTTTCCGAGGAATCTCCAGGGATTGTTTAGGGAGTGGCTTGAAAAGTGAAGAATGAGTCATTATGGAAGTAATTGAATTTCATTCTTTACAATGAAGAACTACCTATTTATGCACATTCATAACAATTTTGTTGTCATTCATTGTTGATTTTCAACAAAATAAAAGCTTTCAATATCTTATAAGAAACAATGTGAAAACAACAGAACTACATAGTAAAACTACATGAGAAAAAATATGTTCTGTCTTTGTAGCTGTTCTAGTTCATTGTGATGATTCAGTTAAAAAGTTTGATCTTCGTTTTGAAATTGTGTACGATCATCTTCGTCTATAATTTGAACATCTTGAACAGGTGCACCATCATCATTATTGGCAACATTTCCATCTAATTTTGGTTCTGTTAGCGTCAACAGATGACACTATGTCGACGCTAACTTATAATTGAACGAAGTTCAATTGGTACCTTCTTCATATTTTCTCATTTGTCAGTCTCCCTTTTCGTTCTGTAGTTAATTGGATTTTTCTCTTTCGTTCACTCAATAGTAAGATTTTTCTTTTTCGTTCTGTCTATCTCTCTCTGTAGAATTTTTTCCGATTTCGATACAGTTCAGTTGTTATTTTGATTTGGTGAAGGGCAGTAGCATTCACTACCACTTCACTTGTGTGTGTTTCTCGTCTTCATGAAATAAATCGTCCATTTGAACTGATCTCACATCCCCTCCTGAATTGATCACGTTTGTTCCTGAACGTAAGGTAAGACCCCCTATATCCTATTATTACATCACCCATGAACTGTTGACCTAACAGGTTCCATGACTTTCAAGTATCTGACATCCTTGGTTAATTGATTTCGAGCTTCTTTTAATGATGCATATAATGTATTAATTGTTCCATAGTTTAAAGCAAAGCCATTTTGTAATGCATCTAAAGAAGAACAAAGAATGCAAAATAATAATTATTAGAGAAACAAAAACAGTTACCTATAATAGTTGCATAGCGTTCGTCTTGTTCATCTAAGAGAATATATTGATGGAAACATACCTGGAGAAAACTGATTAGATGATGATGATGATGGCAGAAACGCTACTGGTCCCGAAATGTGTGGAACTTGAGAAAATTCTGATACTGGTGGAACTACAATACTCGACAATACATCTTAGAAAATGTGAATTTTATTTAGAATGATGATAAGCGTGTTAATCATATTCTTTCTCCCTCAAGGACATTACAGTTTTTGAGTTGGAGAGAAGAAAAGTGTGGAAAGACTGATTAATAATTCAGTTTGGAATCCTAACTGTATTGTTGTTTTTAAAGCCTAAATGATACTTACCAAAAGAAGTTTCATTGGATGAATTTTGACTACGACTATTAACTTCAATTCTCGGAAAACATCTTGTGGAATCTGAGTAAAAAGCCATAGTTATATATTTTATCACAGATACAGAAAATGATAAAGCTCACTGTTGTATGGAGACAATGATCCTAGATTCCCATTATCTTGAATCATACGAACGTTATCATTGTTATTGGTAATATCATTTGATGAACATATAACATTTGGTGATGATGATCGTATCGAGACTGGATTAATATCTATATAAGATAAAATGAAAAACAATTTGAAATATGATTTAAAACTATAGAGCAATATTCTATTGAGTTTTTTTATATGTATATAGAGTGAAGGAACCGATAGCCTGATCTTCAATAAAGTTGAATCATATCGCTCTTATTTTTACTTCATTCACTTGCTTAAATTCAATGAAAAAAAAAAACATACTTTTTTCAAATATATGTTGACGTAATTCAGAATAATTTCTTTTTAAATATTTTGAGTTTGTTTTATGATTTTTCGTTTTTCTTTTTCTTGCTTAAATTAAAAGAAATAAGTTGATCAATACGTATAAATTATAGCATTACAAAACCTTGTACCTTGAATTAGTTTACCACCTTTTAAAACATTAGTTTCATTATCGTCATCGTCATCATTATATTCTCCATCATCATCATCTTCTTCTTCTGGTAAAGATGAATACAAATAATCTGTTGTATAATCATTCATTTTCTTCATCAGCTTGTTATATAACCCTTTTGGACCTTCAAAACATGCACATCATTACATATTATCGTCCATTTAGGATAATGAAAAACCTGGAAAACTTACCAACAGTAATGAATTCACCATTAAAAGTTTTTTCGCCACATTTATATGTAACATTATCATCTTGAATATGACATTTTTCAAGTGAAGCAATCATTAATTCATTGTTGATTATATTTTTGAACAAAACATGAGTAAAAGCACTAGTTCTTGCTGTCATAATTTATCTACAAATAAAAAAAAAGTAATTAAAACAACGGTTATAATGATTTCATCCATTTGACTCCATATGGCTTTTGTAAAAGAATAAAATAAGTTTAATCATGCTCATAAGCACAAAGAACTTCAGAAAATAAATGCAAGTCATAAAACGGAATAACTATACATTGATGCAAAATATCTTCTACACGTATAAAGCAAAGTTCAAATGTTTTAATATCGACAATGCTATAAAAACGATCAACAAATGCATGAGCAACATTACCAAGTTGATCGGTGCGTGTGGTTCTTATAACATTATCAGTACACTTTAGTTGTTTAAGGAATGCATAGTTGGTTGATTTATATTTGAAATACCAAATGATAATACCAAAACATTTATTTTTCTTTGCAAAACATTGAGGATATTTCAAAAAAACAATATTGGTTAGTTGTGAACCTATTCGACTATATAATAATGAACTAAATTTAATAATTCCACGTTGAAAACGACTACATAAAGAAAAAGTATTATCTACTGTTTCGTTGAATTGAACTTGGCACAAGTTTCTAAAGTTAGTGAAGTAATCTCGATAAACGTCTTGATTTAAATAGGAAGTATCATAGACTTTTTCATCTACAAATATATTATTAACAGTGATTGTTGTTTGTTCTTCAGCGTATTGAGAATCACGTAATAAATACGATTTGAATATTTGATAAGGAATTCTTATATTACTTCTTCTGCTTCGTTTTAATATACCTAAGAAGCTTTCATCGCCAAAACATCCATGAGTAAATAAAGCTCCATGTGATAATACTTGTTGAACAAGATATCTATGAGCATGTAAACTGTATAGCTGAAGTTTTTTATCTCCATACACAACAGAAACATTTTTTCGATAGTCATCAAGAAGTGGTTCAACAGTAACAACATCTTGAATGCTTTTGTAGAAATGCATGACTTGAATATCAACGAAATAAAGAATAAAGTGAGAGCTAATGTCTTCGGATCCAAACATAAGTATCAACGGAAAAGATACGAATAATAAAAAAAACCGATAATCTTTCGATTTCCAAAAGTTAATAGAGTTGAATGATGTTATACTTAAAAAACTCATTGGTGTAATGACTTTTTCGGTGAAGCGTGAGAGATTGTTGACACCATACCGTTTGATCCAAATATTCAATATTGAACACATGTGTGTACTAAAGTAGCAAAGAATAGACAATAGGATCGAAAAACAAAATTATGTTTAAGTAATTATAATCGATGTGCTTCATTGCCTATTCGAGTTTCTTAAAAGCTTATAAAATATTTATATTCTAGATCTCAGATGATAAAATATATACTTTTTTTAGCGAATAGCACGGCAATGAAGCTAAAAATACCTCTTTAACAAAGATATAATTCTTAACTTACCTACAACATAGATGCATGTATAATCAAATGGACAATTTATTTGTACATTAACAAATAATGATAATAATGGAGACTTTCTATGTATACCAAAAACAGAAATTTGATTTTGATTTCGTTCAGCTTCAGCAGATGAACTAATATAATCACCATGTGAACGAGTTGGATATGTATCAGTATAAGGATAATAAACATTTGGACCATCATAAGTTTTTCCATACTGAAGACAATTAGAACAACAGTAGTAGCCATTATGTTGTTTGATACATATATTGAAAGTGACCGGTATGGAAGATCAGCTTTAAATAATTGAAACCTAATATTAAATTTTTCACCATCAATAATAACATATTTTTCGTTGATTAATTGTTACAGTTGTTGTGATAACTGATCATAAAGAAGTAATGGTGTAGGTTCAT